TTTTGCCAAGGTTGTGGCCTCTGCTTCAGGTGCTATGGAGAATTCTGTATCCATGCCCATGTCAGCCAAGGGCTTCAACTGTCAAAAGTTCCCATTTGTTTACTTTTATCTGGTTTGTTTCTTGAGGGAGAAGATCGAATTTGCCTTTGTGCTGCCTGCAGTTTCAAACCTGTCTTCCTGGTTCTTCTCTTGTTTAGGAAGCTCCTAATCTGTGAATGGGTAGGGAATCTTGCTTTCAGGAAAGTGTGTTCCACACTTAAAGAGCTCTCAGATCAAGAATTGCAAATGTGCTCAGTGCTCTCTGTCTCTATGCTCTCTAACTCAATTGCCACCAGTCATATGTGTCCTTGATATGTGCTACACGGGTAAATATATAAGCACTTGGATTTCGAAGACTGGGTAGAAAAAATGCAAAATCCTTCATTAATTTTATATAGTGATTAGGCCAGGTATGGTGGCTCACGCCTGTAATCCAAGCACTTTGAGAGACCGAGACAGGTGGATCACTTGAGGTCAGGAGTTCGAGACCAGTCAAACCCCATCTCTACTAAAATTGTAGTACAAAAATTAGCCAGGTGTGGTGGCACACAACTGTGGTCCCAGCTACTTGGGAGGCTGAGGCACAAGAACCACTTGAACCCAGTATGCAGAGGTTACAGTGAGCTGAAATCATGCCACTGCACTCCAACTTGGGCAACAGAGGAAGACTCTGTCTCAAAAAAGAGAAATTATATAGGTGATTATATGTTACAGTGATAACATTTTAGATATGTTAAGCTATGTGAAATATATGTTTTAAAATGTGACCCTTGGAAAATGTCTGAATGCATATGTGATACAAAATATATTTATATTGGACAGTCCTGACACACATTGTTTCATTTCCGTCTCAAAGTAATCATTTGAGGCAGGTGGAATTATTACCATTTTACAGATGAGGCAACTGAAGCTAAGAGAGGTTAAGTCACTTTGACCAGGGTCCAAACTGGAGACAGGAATCCTGACTCCAGAGCCTGTGCAATTCATTTGGACCCTTCTACTGACCAGAACAAATGAGCAAGTTTGACCCTGTACTGCATGTACCCTGTGTGTCAGCTGACACTGGAAGTTGGTGGTCAGGGAGTTGTCATTGCTGGGTAGATTTTGTTGGGTTTTTCTTCTTTGGAGTCCCCAAAACATTGTCATTATTTTACATTACAAGCACTTACTCAAAAGACAGTAATAACAGCAACTAGACTACAGAACTGGAATTCAGGAGCCAAAAGTCCTAGGAACAGATTTACTATGTGACACTGGGTAAGTCATCTTGGGGTGTGAAAGGCAGGGGCTAAGTGACCCCCTTCTTCCCTGATGTTTATAATTTCACTGTCAAGATCAAGGTGGCCCACAGGAATGGCTTATAGGTTCACCTGAGCTTGGGAATCTTTTTGTTTCTGAGAGTATTACAAAAAGGACCAAAAATCCTTTCTGTGCCCCTGGGAAGTCCAAATTACAAAACCACAAGAGGAAGTTGGCTCCCAATGCCCATGGTGTGTATGTAATATAAAACAGGTTACACTATATTTCGATATTAATATATGTGTGCATACATTTACACACACACATATATACTTATACACATTTTTACATATACACATAAAAGATACACATGGGGCATATTTATAAACATGATATATATGCTATATATAGTATGTGTGTATGTATATGTGTGCGTATATACTTGCATATGTGTATATAAGATGTTAGCTAATTTCTTTCTCTATAAGCCTCAAATATTTTTGAATGAAAAAGGTCTAGACATAAGTAAATACATTTTTTAGAAAGGATTAAAGTACAAACAAGGAGTTTTTAAGCTACTTAACTTGCCAATATGTTGTTGTTTTCTTTCATGAAGGACAAACTATATTTAGTTTCTTCTCTACTGTGTGCTGGTAATTCCCCTTCAGGAAAGAAACCTCAGATGTACACTACACTAACCAGGATGCCTCAGGTTAGAGTGGAAGGAGCGTAAACAGTCAGATAATATGAATTTCAGATCTGGCCTCTGCCTCTACACTTAGGTATCAAATAATATGAATGTGTTGTTCCCTGAGTCTGAACATGGAACTATAAGATGGGGATAGCAGGCCGGGCGCAGTGGCTCACGCCTGTAATCCCAGCACTTTGGGAGGCCGAGGCAGGTGGATCATGAGGTCAGGAGATCGAGACCATCCTGGCTAACACAGTGCAACCTCGTCTCTACTAAAAATACAAAAAAAAAAAAAAAATTAGCCAGGCGTGGTGGCGGGTGCCTGTAGTCCTAGCTACTCGGGAGGCTGAGGCAAGAGAATGACGTGAACCTGGGAGGCGGAGCTTGCAGTGAGTGAGGTCACGCCACTGCACTCCAGCCTGGGCGACAGAGCAAGACTCTGTCTCAAAAAAAAGATGGGGATAGCAGTGAGCAACACACAGCATAGCTCTCTAAAGGGTAGTAGTTTGTCCGTCTCTCCCTTGACCAACCTGTTATACCTGCACACACACACACACACACACACACGCATACACACACATAGACACACCCAAACATGCACATACAATTGCGTACATTCTCACATCTCAAATATGTAAGAGCCAAGCAAAACTGGTACATTTGGTTGAACAACATGGATCACTTGAGAAGGAAATGAAACTCAACCGAAACACCCTGAAACCATCAGTTGACTAAAGCAATTGGCCCATTAAATTGAGCTCACCAATCGGTAGAACCAACCTGAAACATCATCATTCGTGGTTATCCTTTCTAAAGCATTCTTGATTTTTTCTTAAAGAGTTACATCATTGATCCCTCAGGTCCCTTCTCCAGTGCACTGTGGTTCTCTAAAGCCTTCCATCTGTTTGATTACTTGCTCTTTAATATGTTTTTCTAAACAGATAACACAATATCTGAGAAAGGTAGATCAGCTGGTTGATCATAAAAATGGATGTCCTGGAATTTGTTCTTCCTTTATTCATTCTGGACAAGTTTTAAACTGATGAAGTAAATTTTGAAACTACTGTACAAAAGATGGTGGGTCCTCTTGATGGAGAACATTTTTACTACCTTTGTAAATCTCACAGTCCCCAAGCCAGGCCTGTCTCTTACCCTTCCCTTAATGTGTTTTAACAGAGATGACTCAAGTGAGAGCATCCAATCACCTCTTTAGAGGACAACATGACAGACTGAGTATCAGCTCCTTGAAAACATAAACCATGGACTGGTCTGTCCTGTGGAACCCTGAAACATCTAGGCCAGCAGTTCCTGTGTCCTTTACTGCCTAAATGTTATAAATCTTAAATAGGTAAAGAGGAGAAGTTTTGTGGAAAAGAGGTGGTTTGTGGATAAGGAACCCTGAGTTTAGAGTTTTCAATTTGGGCTCTGAATTTTGAAATATACTAATAGAATTGTGTCCTTACACAAGGCTACCCTCTATAAAATGGTGGTGACAGGCCAGGTGCAGTGGCTCATGCCTGTAATCCCAGCACTTTGGGAGGCCGGGGCAGGTGGATCACCCGAGGTTGGGAGTTCAAGACCAGCCTGACCAACATGGAGAAACCCCATCTCTACTAAACATACAAAATTGGCCAGATGTGGTGGCACATGCCTGTAATCTCAGTTACTCAGGAGACTGAGGCAGGAGAATCACTTGAACCCCGGAGGCGAAGGTTGCAGTGAACTGAGATCGCACCATTGCACTCCAGCCTGAGCAACAAGAGCAAAACTCCATCTAAAAAAAAAGAAAAAAAATGGTGGTGACATCTGCCCTGCCTTCCTACCTTACAATGTAGGATTGTAGAGACAATAGCTGAGCATAGTATGAGACCACATTATCAATAGTAAAGCTTTGGACACGTGAAGGCTTTTTTGTACGTTGTAGTAATTTCACTTGTTTATCCCTCCAGGCCTACTTCAAATGTTTCCACCACTGTGAAACCATCTCCAATTATTTCAGGCAAAATGAATGAACATGTGTCTTCGTAGTACCCTACCTAAATTACAATCATAACATATATCACCCTGATGCCTATAATCAGGCTGCATCAATTAACTTTTGCCAATTTCCTGCTGCAATACAAACCACTCCAAAACTCAGTGGCTTAAAACCACAATCATGCATCTTCGCTTATGAGATGGGATGGCCGTGTGTGTCTCTCATCCTCCCCCGGGACCATGGGCTAGCCAGGGCATATTCTTCTCATGGCAAAGGCAAGAGTGAAAGAGGGTGAGCCAAAACACACAAGACCTCTTGCAGCCAGGCTGGGGACTGATATGTTGTCACATCTGCTCATATGCTAGTGGCAAGGCCAATTCAAGGGTTGGACACAGGGTGAAGAATTGGGACTAATCATGAAGTCTTTCATACTAATTTACATGCTTTGTTAGATTACAGCCCCTGGCTGGAAGAGCAGGGGGCAGGAACAAAGCCTGCTTCTATATCACCTACCCCTCTGCCAGGGACTGGTGAGTAGTAGCTATTTTATTGATTTTTGCTGAGTTCCGAAGGGTCTTCCCAACCTTTTCCTTTATAGTAAGGGTTAGTACGCTCTGACTGGGGGGCCAAACCTGGCCCGGTTGTATGCAGCCAAACAGCTAAACATATAAATGATTGCAAAAAATAATAATAGTAAAAAGGAAAATAATATTTAATGACACGTGAAAATTACATGAAATTCACTCAGTGTCCATAAATTGAGTGTTCTTGGAACACAACCACACCCATTCCCTTGTGTGTTGTCTATGGCTGTATTCCATCTATAATAGCACGGCTGAAGTTGGAGTTGGCCTAAAGTATGTCCCTTAAAGCCTAAAATGCTTACTCTCTGGCCTTTTGCAGAAAATGTTTGCCATCTGCTCCTGTATAGGATAAGAAACTGAGAGTCCCGGGGGGTTGAATATAGTCCTCACTGCAGAGTGGCTACAGAGTTGTTAGTTGAATTATCCCTGTCTTTGTTACATGTTAATATCTTCCCTTTTTGTTCCCTAGTAATTGAAGGCCTGAAACTCCCATGTGCCACTGACTAGGAGGCTTCCGTGCTGCTGCGCTTCATGACCCAGCGGCGCGCGGCCCAGTGAAGCCACCGTGGTGTCCAGCATGGCCGCGCTGCTCCTGGGCGCGGTGCTGCTGGTGGTCCAGCCCCAGCTAGTGCCTTCCCGCCCCGCCGAGCTGGGCCAGCAGGAGCTTCTGCGGAAAGCGGGGACCCTCCAGGATGACGTCCGCTATGGCGCGGCCCCGAACGGCTCTGCCCAGCAGCTGCCTCAGACCATCATCATCGGCGTGCGCAAGGGCGGCACGCGCGCGCTGCTGGAGATGCTCAGCCTGCACCCCGATGTGGCGGCCGCGGAGAACGAGGTCCACTTCTTCGACTGGGAGGAGCACTACGGCCATGGCCTGGGCTGGTACCTCAGCCAGATGCCCTTCTCCTGGCCACACCAGCTCACGGTGGAAAAGACCCCCGCGTACTTCACGTCGCCCAAAGTGCCTGAGCGAGTCCACAGCATGAACCCATCCATCCGGCTGCTGCTCATCCTGCGAGACCCGTCGGAGCGCGTGCTATCTGACTACACCCAAGTGTTCTACAACCACATGCAGAAGCGCAAGCCCTACCCGTCCATCGAGGAGTTCCTGGTGCGCGACGGCCGGCTCAACGTGGACTACAAGGCCCTCAACCGCAGCCTCTACCACGTGCACATGCAGAACTGGCTGCGCTTCTTCCCGCTGCGCCACATCCACATTGTGGACGGCGACCGCCTCATCAGGGATCCTTTCCCCGAGATCCAAAAGGTCGAGAGGTTCCTGAAGCTGTCGCCGCAGATCAATGCCTCGAACTTCTACTTTAACAAAACCAAGGGCTTTTACTGCCTGCGGGACAGCGGCCGAGACCGCTGCTTACATGAGTCCAAAGGCCGGGCGCACCCCCAAGTAGATCCCAAACTACTCAATAAACTGCACGAATATTTTCATGAGCCAAATAAGAAATTCTTCGAGCTTGTTGGCAGAACATTTGACTGGCACTGATTTGCAATAAGCTAAGCTCAGAAACTTTCCTACTGTAAGTTCTGGTGTACATCTGGGGGAGGGGAAAGAATTTTAAAAAAGCATTTAAGGTATAATTTATTTGTAAAATCCATAAAGTACTTCTGTACAGTATTAGATTCACAATTGCCATATATACTAGTTATATTTTTCTACTTGTTAAATGGAGGGCATTTTGTATTGTTTTTCATGGTTGTTAACATTGTGTAATATGTCTCTATATGAAGGAACTAAACTATTTCACTGAAAAAAAAAAAGATTTTTCTGGAGACGCTATCTTTTTTGAATATAATTAACTTGCCCCCAACTCAAAATAGCTGTCTGTGTTGCACTCATTGCAAAATCTAAATTCTTTTGTTACTTAAAAAAAAACCACATTTTTTATGGCTGTTATAGTCCTCTCCCTCCCCTCCCCTCTCTTCATTGCTCTTTTTAATTTTCAATGTCTCATTGTGATCATCAGATTTATTTTTACTTGGATTGTAAGATTTATCTCCTTGATGATTCCTTGCCATTTTTGGAGGTCACGGTTTTACCCATTCCCACGTGTAAACTTCAAGTAAACGAAGCAATATTCAGGATGGAGAAGCAGTTAGTGACTGGCTAGAAGTCCCTTAGGATCCATCTTGACCTCAAAGAATATTTGCATACGCTTCTGATCTCAGCAGTGGTTGAAACCTACAATAAAGAGGATTAAACCCTTGGCCTTCAGAATGATCTTGGGCCTGGGTACTTTGCCCCAAGTGGCAGTTGGCCTCCAGAAAGCCAATTAGAATAGAAAAGAGAAACTGCAAAATCTATGTGTGTCTTCATCCTGTAGGTTCTGTGAAAGGCTGACTAAAAGGGTAGTAGTCTTTTGCTTAGTTTAAAAGTGCTTACTTCCTGAAAGATACATTGGCATTATAGACATATATTCCATATGCACTGAGACATAAATATGTGTATGTTTCAAAATCAACTCTAAATTTGGAGTCCTGAATGTGAAAGAAAATGTAAACTCCCAAGGGTTGAAGTTAAAAAGAGAAAAGGGCAGAGTTGAGGGTAGCACCGAGGAGAGCCACTGTACCTGCCCCCAGAGGAGAGGCTGGAGTTCATTTTCACTTCTGCCCCCGAGCAGCCAGGTTGTTGGAGATGGTCACATAAACCCGTCTTATCCTCAGTTTTTTCATGCATTCTTCATGCAGTCAGCCTTTTACAAAATTAAACACATCGGATTTTAATAAAAATAAAACATTTATTACAGTAAAAGAGAAAATACAAACAAGCAAAATAAACTGGTTTCCTGACATAGTTTATACCGAAGGAAAATGACAGAAATGGATATTATTAATCACCTCCTACACTTAAGAACTCATTGAAATTTCTCCAAGCCACCCCAGGATGCAGATATTATTATGGAAATTTCAAATAGGAGGAAATAGGTCCAGAGAACATGAGAAACTTGCCCAAGATCACATTGACTATAAACTCAGGCTTAGAGGCTACTCAGAGTCAAAGCACAGGTTATTTATGTATTTACTTTTTACCCAACTCTTTCTGAGCTCAGAAGGAAAAGCCCAGACTCAGAGCCAGTTCTTCCTGACCTGACTTGACATTTCTTCCCAGGTGCCAAGTATCTTCCATCCTAAGAGGTGTGTCCCAGCTACAGGAAGGGCAAGAAGCAGCCTGCATTTTTCTCAGCAGTGTTATCAGGGAAGTGAGTCACCTTGGTATGTTTCAGCAGCTCCAGCCTGACCTGACCTTAGCATGGCCTATGCCTCACCCCATATCATGCGCCGAGAGCAGAGAGGATGCCTTCCTCTTTATAATCCATTAAAGTTGTCATTAAACCATCATCTCCCCCGGAGGAAGTAGCGGAAATATTTACAGCAGGCCCCTGGTGGACAGGGTACTTCTCAATAGGCAGACAGCCTCCCTCTGCAGCACATCGTTGGACCTTGCTTGTACCATACTCGTTGAAGAGCTGAAGAAATAAGAGGACTCAGAAAGGTTAAGTCGTTTCCAAGCCTGTTCAGGAGTATGGTGACTGAAAGGAAACTGCAGTGAGAGTCTCTGACTCTGAAGAAGATGCTCTTTGCAAATGGCCTGTATATTCCTGTGCCCTGACAGGGATGGTCTGGTTGAAGCGTGAACTGTTGTTGCAAGCGGCAGCGGGGAGGAGTGGAGGAAGACAGGACCGGCACATGGAACATAATCTAGCTGCTGGGACTGGCATAGTTGATGGAGGGCATGGTCCAGTGTAAAATGATTAGTGAATGTAAATCCAATGTTTTCATTTGGGGGTGCAGAGCTGTGGCTAAAGGAATGTTCAAATGAGTCTACCATGAGCAAGGGGTCAGAGGTCCTAGTGGCACTGTATGTTCATTCATTTTTGGTACAACCCCAGCCAGTCATTGAGAAAGTACACGGGGTAAGAAACCTTCACTCCAGATTTACCCAAGGTATTTATTAATAGATATCACCGAGCACTGTCAAATTCAAAGGAGGCCCTGTAGTAGACCCTGGCCTGTCCTGATAGGGCCAAAATGCAGTGACTCGGGAGCCTAATAGACACCCAGTCTCTCCCAAACATGCCTCCTACCAACTCCATTAACAGAGACAGATGTCAGTGGAAGGGGTGGGGCTCCTGTCCAGACCACTCCAGCCCAGGGACAGCCTGGGGGATCTAGGTGGGTCCTTCCAGAGAGGCAGCTGAGAGCAACTGAACCAAGCCTCAGCTATTCGATTTGGAATATTTACACACTTGACACTCCAGAGTCAGAACAGCCCCTTCCATTTCCCTTCCTCCTGGAATCAGATAGGGTTGAAATCCTTTTAACACTATGTGGTTATCAGCTCACAGCCTGAAAGTTTGCGAGTTTAAGAAAAGTGACATGACTCTGAGCACAGGGTGCTTTACTCCTTCTGTGCTGGGAGGCTTACCCAAATGAAAGGAGATGCAGGGTAGGGGAGGCCAATGCCTAGTGTGCCTGCTGCTTACAGGGGTGGAGTCACAGGTCACCATTATTCATTAAAATTTTACTTTTTTGAGCCCCTATCATATGCTCAACATGGTATTAAGTCCTTAAGAATATAAAAAGAAAATACAACAGGAACTAGTAGACAGTAACTGTTTGTTCTGGACTTTAATAAAAATCCAGAGGGTCTTGGAGTACAAGGGAAAAGACATTTAGCTGTGTATAGACTGGGTGGGGCGATGTGTTCCATGGTTTGGCATTCAGTTCAGCAACATTGCTGAGAGAAATCAACTAGCCCCCTTATAGAGAAGAGGAAACTGAGGTTTAAAAAGTGGTCCTGGCCGGGCACGGTGGCTCACGTCTGTAATCCCAGCACTTTGGGAGGCCGAGGTGGGTGAATCATGGGGTCAAGAGTTCAAGACCAGCCTGACCAACATGGTGAAACCCCATCTCTATTAAAAATACAAAAGTTAGCCAAGCATGGTGGTGTGTGCCCGTAATCCCAGCTACTCAGGAGGCTGAGGCAGGAGAATCACTTGAACCTGGAAGGAGAAGGTTGCAGTGAGCCGAGATGATGCCACTGCACTCCAGCCTGGGTGACAGAGCAAGACTCCATCTCAAAAAAATAAAATAAAATAAAATAAAATAAAATAAAACAAAATAATAATAAAAAAATAAAAAGTGATCTTGACCTCATGTCACTTTTTTCAGAAGAAAGGATTCTTGCTCACTCCAGGGAAATAGTCCAGAAATGGGAAATGTTGACATCACGTATCACAAAAGAAGTTGAAAAATATCAGAGACCCTCTCCAGAATGTCATTTGTCAGAAATATTAAGAAATAGAGAATCTTCCCAGAGGTCGCATGGCAGGGCAGGTCACTTAACTTGTGGGCCACAGAAACCCTGACCTTCCTATGGGAAGGTTTCATGGAGGAATCGCCATAAAGCTGGGGCATGAATGGCAGTGGTGTCACCAGAGCAGGGCATTCTGAACAAGGGAAACTTGAGACATGAAGACAGTGGTCATTGGGAGAGACCGGGGGTAGAGGGTAGAGGTAGGCAAGAGATTTGTCTAAGTGGCATGTCAAATGTGTTAAACTCAATGAAAAGCTACTGCTTTCCAAGGCTGGAGTGCTGAAAGCTTACTTAGCAGGCACCCTTGTGAATTTGGCTCCTGTGCAGGTGTATCTGTTGCATAAAAATAACTATCATTTGTTGCACACCTGCCATGTGCTTGGTATTTTAAATATATTGCTTCTAACCTATATAACAACTCTAAGAAGTAGAACATGGGCTACTAATTTTACAGAAAAATAAACTCAGAAATTAAAGGGCTTGCCCATGTTGATAGAGCCATTGTTTCTTACAAATGAAATTTTGTCTTCGGTGTCTCTGTTCCTTTTCAGTCCATCTGTTTGTGGGTAAGTGGGGGAAGACATAAAGCATATGTATCTGTCTATTAGGCAGAGTTGTAAGGGAAATTATGGGCATCTAGGATTTGGAGTTGGACAGTTAGGGTGACGCCAAGATCACCTTCAAGCAAAGCAGTGGCTGGGATTTGATGCAACAAGGATGTGACAAAACATGCTCCTGACAGACAGCGCTCTTTTTGGAAGACTGAGCCTGAGTTAAAGGCCAGAGCAACATAACAGAGTTCTCCAAACAGCACACAATGAGAGAAGGCCAAAGCTAAAGAGGACATCATCAGATTTAGCTGCTTCACTAAAGAGTTTTGATGTAGAAAATGACCTTGGTGCTTTAGTTCTCCCTGATGTCAAGACCTTTATTCCATTTTGCCCAAATTTCCCAGTTAGATAACAGTAAAGAGAGAGAGCCGGAAGACCTGGGTGTGCATCCTAGCTGTACCAATCACTGGCCATGGGATCTTAGATTCAGATTCTGAGAACTTCCATTTCCTTCTCCATAAAAATGGGCAGATATGTACTGTACTCTGTTTTGGGGAAAACTCAAATTCAATGAGATAAAGTAGGTAAAAACTATAAACTCAGTGCATATGTTGTTTAGTGGTTAAAAACATTTGGGACTTTAAGAGACAGACTAAAACTGGTTTTGAACCAGTCGGCAGAAATGCACTGCCTTTTTTCCTCCTCTGCTTCCCAGCTATGTGACTGTAGCTATTGCTGTTAATGCTTCATCCAGACCTCATTTACCATGGAAGTGCTCTCAACTGCGGCTGCCACAAAGATTGTCTTCTGGTGACTCGCCCTGACTATTTTCTGAAGGATTTCTCTTAGTTGGCAGGAGTTTCCTTACCTGAAGATGCCTGGGAAGTGTTGCCCACCCCACTCTCCTGCTTTCCTAGGGTTAGGGCATGACTAATGATTGACTGATCGATGTGGGATGGGGCATGGGGGGTAGTAGGGTAATAGTTCACCCTCATTGCCTCTGGGCAGGACAACCTCTGATGTGACTCATGCTCAGAGCTCCTTGTGAGATCAGGCTGAGGCTAGACTTCTTCTGAAACCCTACTTTTACTTATTTCTTCTCAAACTTCATCCTTTTCCCACATTACCTTACCCATTTCTCCTGCTACCCTATTCTCAGTAAATGTGTTTCCCAAGAATACAGGAATCCCCCCTCAGGCTTTACTTCTAGAGCGTCCACTCTAAGGTTTTAACCTTGCATGCATGTTTTCTTCTCTCTGTATTTTAAATGCATAATGTGATCAACCCACAGAGTTATCAGAATTCTTCCAATTAAATGAGATACAGCAGAGAATGAGTCTATTTTATTGGCTAGCAAATAGCAAAGTGTTAAATACAATAATGGATGAAATTGTTACCAAGTAGTAGGCTCTTTAATTAGCTTATCAGACTACCAAAATAGTATAATGCATCAATATCAAACTTAAATTCCAACTTCAAAAAACAATTCTGGACCCAACAAAGATGAAGGTATTACTCCATCTTATGTAGCAATATGTTGTATTTCTATTGTTTGATAGATAGTCCACTTAGAACTAACACATGGATGTCTCTTCCTTTTGATTGCAACCCTCTGGCACTTAACACTGTGCCTGGCACATGGTAAGTAAGGAGTATTAATGCTTGTTTGTGGATTGAAGGGTAACTCTAGGTCAGCTGTCAGTTTTATGCGAAAGCCCCTTCTACCACATCCCAGTCTCATGATCTGGCCTGCCTCCTGGAAGTACCCTTTCTGGCCCAGACACTGGTAGGTACTTTATAATATGCTGTTTTATGTAATCTTCACAAACCTCAGGGGAAATAATCAATTCAAGCTTCCTGTGTTTGCTTACCATTAGATCCCCAACAAATAACAACAATACTTGACACAGGAGCTATAAATATTTATTAATCAAAAAAATCATCTTAATACCCAAGCTCTTTTCACTATGCCTTACTATATGACCTCTTCTTGAATACTGAAACAGTGGATAGTTCTCCAAGGTAACCCGTGATATCTCCAAACTGGCTATTGAAATTCATACTTACTGTACCTCGACCTACATTCTCTCTTGAATCTGAGTTCTACCACACAGTGCCATAATGAACAGGTCTAATACCACTTTCTCACATTGGCCTACTGAAAAGAGCTCTGACCTTGGATTCTGAAGACCTGAATTTAGAAGTTTATCTCCTAGCCTTTTTCACAGCTATGTGACCTTGGGCAATTTCCTTAACTGCCCTGAACTTCCAGTACCTTTCTGTAAAATAGGGATAATGATACCTTCTTCACAGAGATTCTATGAACATTTTATGGAAAATGGACAATGGACATATAAGAGATCACAATTTCATAAACACTGCAAATATGTAAAAGTAAGTCTTTCTAATTCCTATTTAGCTCTCATGACTGGTATCATCTTTGACAGAAAGTAAAGGAATAATACTCACTTTTATTAAAACCTAGGTATTATCTCATTTAACCTTCATATCAACCTATAAGACAAATGCCACTATTTCACTTATTTTATATATGGATGGGGAACCAATGCACGGAGACATTAAGTAATTCGCCCAAGGTTACATGGCTAGTAAATGGTAGAGCCAGATTTGTCTCCTGCGTATTCTCTTCATAACTAAAATGCTTTACCTCTAGGCTATAATGCCTGTAAATGCAAAAGAGAATCTCTTCTCCAACATGTCTGTTCATAGAAAGAGCTAGAAAACAAAGAAAGCAAAGATAGAGATCAGAAACTTAATATAAATATCAGAAAAAAAGGCTGTGGCAGGCAGAATTCTACAATGGCTCCCTTGGTTTCCACCTACCTGTATACAAACCCTCCATAGAACCCTCGCCTTGAATATGAGCAGAAATTATAAATAAGATGAGGCATTTACTCTCTTGGTTAGAGTACTTTACATGGCAAAGGTGATGGGCTCTAAAGACATTGTGTTATGTAAGACTCCCACTTATCACACTGGGAAGATTCTTCTACTGGTTTTGAAGGCATCACCTGCCATGTTGTGAGAGTAGCAAGGGACTGCAGTGGCCAGTAGTAGCTGAGAGTGTCCCCAGCCAATATCCAACAAGAAAGCAAAGATCTCAATACTCCAGTTTCAAAGACTAAATTTTTCCAACAACAAGTGAGCTTGGAAGATGGCCTCAAGCTCCGTATAAGAAAGTCGTCTGACTGAAATCTTGATTGCTGCTTGGAAAGGCTACAGCAGAGGTAGGATGTGCTCAAACTCCTGCCACAGGGAAATTGAGATAATAGGTGTATATTGGTTTAAGCTGCTAAGTTTGTAGTAATTTGTTACGTAATAGGTAATTAATTCAAAGTGTAAGTCTATTATCTGGTCTATTCATCTTACCTCATGCTCACTTTTCTATATGCTCCCTTGAAAACAAACAAAATGTATGGATTTTTGTTGCCCAAGGCTTGCATTCCCATTGTATATTAACCAGAGCCTAATAGCAAGGTTATTCAGAGATGACAACTGTCAAATTTTTATTTATATTCTTTGAGATAAAACACACACACACACACATATACACACGACTGCGGCTTCATCAGTTGATAGAGTTGAAAGGGAACTTACAGGTCATTTTAGCCAAACTTCTCTTTTTATAGAAGGATTTGAGGTCTGGAGGAGTAAAGTAATGTAGGTAGCAGCAGAATCCAAGGGAGATCTCAGAACTACTTTGTAATATCTATCACACTGTGTATCTGTTGTCTAATCCCTTGCTCTCCAAGTGAAGGTCTGTTGCTTACTGTGCAAACCAATGCGCCACACAGTTCTCTGCATAAAGCAGATACTCAGCTGAGAGTTGATTGAGATTATGCTCCTCATTTAGTAGCATTTTTGGTGCAGCAGGAAAAACAATAATGGCTAAACAGACCGGGTGTTCCAGT